CCCCCCTCTCACTAATTATCGAAAAAAAAATCACTAAAAAATGGATTTTTAACGACGGAAAAAATCTGAGTGAAAATACTGGATGCTATGTAATAGAATCTGCATGGCGGTAATCGCAACGATGATTGAAATTGCTTGAAATTACTTGTTACAGTGCTCGCAGCCACGTGAAAGACAGTTTGCACCGTAAAATATCACCTTACACATGAGACGACTGAGTACACAATCCATCTGGTCTATTATCTCAGGCAGGGCCAAGAATTACGGGAAGCTTTTTTCACATTTGCCCAGATTTACTCACGACGATGCTCGAAATCTATGTAGTAGTATTCTTAGTGGTGATACTCTGAGTTATGCAGTGATATTAGATGGTGTCTGCACTTTCGCAAAAGAACTTCTAGCCGAGGTCATAAAGCCCAAACTATCAGTATGAAATTGTTAAAATCCATGAGATTTTAAGATCTTCCTCATTTTCATGATTTTTATCATTTTTTCACTTTCGTCATTTTTCATTTTCACGATTTTTATCATTTTTTCACTTTCATTATTTTTCACTTTCATCATTTTTCATTTTCATGATTTTCATTTTCATGAAGCTCCGGTTTCCACGATTTCCGGGAGAAGAAACCACGAGAAGTTGATCCTCCTCAATCTCTCTCATCTTCCGTTCCAGATTTGTAAAAATTACAGATGCACTATTCAAGAACAGCACAGGGCAATGCTAGGCCATAGCAGGAGGCTGCTGAAGACAACATCATCAACACAACTAATCGCAAAATGCGCAGTGGGACGGAACATACCCAAACTGACGTGATGGCAACAGATTGGACGTCCATTTTTCCAAATCCTTCAATGCGATATCAAAACGTGGACTGATCACGGAGCACTTATTGATACGGCCCGTTAAATTTACAACGATTTTTCCGGCTCTGTGATCATCGATCACCTCAAACTCGCCAATGTAACCAGCCTTCACCATCACTGTCAGGAAACGTATAATCACCTAAAAATGCCCGAAAAAGATTTAGGACACTTTCAAACACATATTGCGCACAAATACAACCAGATGAACAGAGAGATAAATGATGCTTTTGTCGCGGAAGTCGAAAAAAAAAAGAAAAATTCGCATATACTACAACATATCCAGCCTCAATCCTCACTACCCTTCCCTCCCTCCTATGAGCTAAAATTTTCAAAGAAGCGATGAGCCAGCAAGGTGACTACTAGGCAAGGGGACAACAACATTGCTTAGGATAAATAAAAAAGTTACCAGTTTCTTAAATGGAACAAGAGACCAGAAGGACTGG